TACTATGCTGTCTGACAAACTATATTTTGTACAGATTTTATTTTGGCAAGTATTTAATCATTTTGCCCAGAGAAAAACGTTGGATTATGCAACAGACATACAACTCGTTGTCTCCATGTAGTTAATTAATAAACCATCGGTATCGGCCCTTTTCATGCTATTTCCGATATGCAGATGGCTTTAAAATAATCAAAAATCGGACGATAAATATCGGCGGCCGATACATCGGTGCATCCTTACTTTTTATATTTTATAAACTTATTTAGGGTCATAACATTTTTAAATGTTTTTGAAACAAGTCTCTTGTGCACACCAAGGCAGCATTCATTTTTATGAAAGCACAGTAAAAACAGTAATATTGTGAAATAATATTAAAATTTTAAATATAACCTATAACATAAAATGCTGATTTGGTGGTCAAGAAAATGTTTTTATTATCAATATCGTTGGTTATCATTTTGTGGAAATGATGATAAGATTATTTTTAGGATTAATTAATGAATAGAAAATTCAAAATAACAGCATTTATTTAAAACCGAAATCTTTTGTAACATTATAAATGTCTTTACTGTTATGTTAAATTTTTTGGTAACCCTTTAGGGACCAATTTTTACTATTAACTAGTTGCTTAATAGCATGCGTATTAATAGCATATTGGCTGTATATTAGTACTAATAAAGCACATATTAATGCCTTATTCTGCATAACCATATTTTAGATCACTTAATCCTACCCAATACCTAAACATAAGTACCTTACTAACTATTAATAACCAGCAAATTTGATGTTTGAAGCAAATGTCATAGCTAATAGTTAATAGTGAGACTTGGTCCCCAAATTAAAGTGTGACTCCCTTTTTTTGTAAATTTTTTGTTACCCTTACTTTCGAAAAAATAAATGCATCCTTGTAGAATAAAAGTATTACCGTATTGGCCCGAATGTAAGACGACCCTGATTATAAGACGACCCCCCTTTTTCCAGATGTACCTTTTGGAAAAAGCCTTTTTAAAAAACAAATCTTGTTTTTTCTCAGTAAAACACATTTTGTCTTCAATTATTTTCATATGCAGCTGTCAGGTTTTCTTTTTCTTTTGTTTTTACTCGCGATCTTTACAACACGCATTACAGTACGTATTTCATGGCACACTCGTTTTATGCATATTTGGCGCCACCTATTGTTGTGGGTGTATTATTGACATGTCAAAGTCTAGACCCTGAATATAAGACGACCGCGTTTTTTCAGATGTATTTCCATGAAAAAAACATGGTCTTATATTCGGGACAAAACGGTAATTTCTTTTTAAAAAAAAGAACTGACGCCATATATAATTTATTATACTAATAGTTTTACCATAGTTTTTGACAACATTTGAAGTTCTCTGTAATTCATTCTCACACAAAAGTACAAAATCTTGTACAGTCTTTATTCCATTTCATGTTTCTATTTTGTTTATAATGTGAACCATCTTAGATCTGGTTATTTGGTTTATGGCTTTAAAGTCTTTATGTCTTTATTAAAGGATAATGAAGAAGAAAAAAATATTGAAGCAACTAAAACTGGACGGTCACTGCTGCACTATTTTAAACTTATGAAGCAAAAGCTTAAAATCTTGCCAATGATGACGACAATTTTGTATCCTTAAGATTTCCTTTTGTTGTCAATTTTGAATATTTGCTGGATTTGAAAAATCCCTTTCTTGAGACTTTGAGAGGGAAACATCTTACACTTCAGGAGCTGACATGCTTTAATCTAATTGGCGTTGGCCCACATGAAACTTAGTATGGAGGTCCATATAAATAAGGGCCTGAGGGTCTTACCTCTGCACCTGCCGAGGCCCCAGGAGAGTCAAGCTTGCGTTTCTTGCGGGGTCCAATGGCGGCAAGGGCTGTGAGGTTGGCATCCCGCTGTCTCATCTGGGCGAGTTCCTGCTGCTGCATCTGAATGGCAAGAACATTCAATCAATATTAACTGCATGAACGCTATATCAAAGCCATTCACGCGAAACAGACAATTTATACATTGTGTAGGACTGTGAATAACAAGTTCCCAAATAAGCATTACGGTGTAACACATTCCCTTACTTGAATTATCATTTTCAAATATTTGTATGCTGTGTATTTTACATTCATTCCAAACTGCCCCGAAGAGCTCTATAGAGCAAATGAAGCTCCAAACATCACACACAGCTTCAATGCAGCAAATAACTCAGAGCTTTTGCCGTATCTGGGTGCTTAATTCAATTTCTTTCCACGAGGGAATGAGGGAGAAAGTGAGTGAGTGTTTGAGAATGAGAGAGCGAGCGATTTTCAAAAAGCACAGCCCGCAGGTAAAGTCATCTCACCCTAGCAGGCAGTGACAGAGCCAGCCACGCCGGGAGGGGTGGATGAAGAGGGGGCTGCACGTCCTCTGTTCCCCCGCTTGGAGTGAGCGCTGCCGGGCACAAAATGCAGAGAGAGTCCTCACCTCTCCTCACCCTGACACTCACACCACTGTGGCCATTAACTCGAGAGAGAAAAACAAAACAAAATGGGCTTTGTGTGTCATCGACGGCCCCATTAGAAAGTGCGTTCACCGAGCCGCAGTGGCTGCTGGAGTTATGAAACTAAGTGGGGGAAATGTGGGAACAAAACATTAGAGGTGGGATACAGGACAGATGACGTTCCAAAAAGAAATTCCCAGCCAGGAGGATAGACCTGGAAATAGTTTAATTTTGCTTTGACAATTTGACCAATTTTGACAAAAAAAATATTAGGGCTGTCAAAAAAAAAAGCTAATTGTGATCATTCTTATGTTTTTTTTTTTGTTTTGTTTGTTTATGTTTATATATATATATAAACATAACACACACACACACATATGGACAAAAGTATAGGGACACCATCTTCTAATGAACAGGTTTGACTACTTTAGTAATTTCCATGAGTACAAATCTTAATGTTTAAGCATATAATTATATTCTAGGGAATTGTGTTTTTACTAAATTACTAAAGTAGTCAAACCTGTACATTAGAGGGGGGTGTCCCAATACTTTTGTCAATACAGACAGTGTATATTTATATATACACACACACACACAGTTTGTTTTTGTGAAAAGTGGGGACATCCCATAGGCGTAATGGTTTTTCTACTGTACAGACCGTATATTCTATTGCCCTACACCAACCCTACCCCTAAACCTACCCCTCACAGGAAACTTTGTGCTATTTCAGATTTTCAATACACTCCATTCTGTGTGATTTATATGCGTTTTGAAAAGTGGGGACATGGGGTAATGTCCTGAAAAGTCACCTTCTCCTTGTAATACCTATGTCATACCCTTGTCATTATACAAATTTATGTCCTCATTTGTCACAAAAACGCGCACACACATACATGTATATACACACACACACACACACAGTATATTTAAAAAAATTAAACATATGATAGCATTTATATATATTTTATAGCTATTTATTTTAATACAATTGTGTATATTATAGATTAAAATATATTAGATTATGATAAAACAGACCTTCACCTACAGACTCTCTCTCACACACAGGTTTGTTTTTGTGAAAAGTGGGGACATCCCATAGGCGTAATGGTTTTTCTACTGTACAGACCGTATATTCTATTGCCCTACACCAACCCTACCCCTAAACCTACCCCTCACAGGAAACTTTGTGCTATTTCAGATTTTCAATACACTCCATTCTGTGTGATTTATATGCGTTTTGAAAAGTGGGGACATGGGGTAATGTCCTGAAAAGTCACCTTCTCCTTGTAATACCTATGTCATACCCTTGTCATTATACAAATTTATGTCCTCATTTGTCACAAAAACGCGCACACACATACATGTATATACACACACACACACACACAGTATATTTTAAAAAATTAAACATATGATAGCATTTATATATATTTTATAGCTATTTATTTTAATAAAATTGTGTATATTATAGATTAAAATATATTAGATTATGATAAAACAGACCTTTTTCCACCTACAGATTTTTTAAAACTATATTAATAATAGTGATTACTGATAACTAGTATACTGTGATTTAATATGAACAAATTTCTGTTTTTGTGTCGACTGATAAAGGGGTATTTGAGTCTTACAGATGGATCTATGGGGGAACACAAGAAAAAAACGATTGTAACACACTGTTTTCCTTTTGCAGGAATGACGTAAATCAGTCGTAGAGTAAAACATTTCCATTGTGTATGTAGATTACTTTTAATTGACTGAATTTGTCACTTGTGCTGCTAGAAACAATTTGTCCAAATAATTGCGCCGCCCGCCCCTCCTTTCACAAATACAAACTAAATAACATAATGAAGAGGGGGAAATTGACAAACCGCTAATTCAAGCCAACGGTTACATGCTAATTAAGTCAGGGTTATGCTAATCGGAAGGGAAGTCGTGCACATTGCATGCACACGCATGGATGCCCCAAAGAGAGCGAGCTGACACGTAAACACGGCCAGCACCACCGCTGCATGTCAGTGATCTGGTGCACTGAACTTTCACCTGACCCTGACAGTTACGGTGAATGCGCCTGAGGGCACATAAAAGAGACGACGGTGGGGTGTGTGTGAATCTATTTGAAGTAATGCGAGGTAAGGAGGCCCTGTACGGACACAATGCAGCGACTAGCGGTGTTTAACAGAAGGTTCTAGAAGGACAGGGACTGTTTGGTGTCGCGGCTGATCTTCTCTCACCGCCTGCAGCTAGAGCGCTGACTTGCGTTCATATTCGATTATTTGATGAGGAGTGAAAGGGGAACCTAGTTACGCCAGCTGTAATCCAGAGCTCTGTGGCTCCACATAATCACTGTTTAATGACTGACCACAATCACAAAACCTGCTGCGACAACTCCCATGATTCCACACTCAGTCACGGCGTCATCAAACTACGCCTTTGTCTATTTGTTTATTTTGTATACACGCCCTCTAGCGGCGAAAATTACATATTGTGCCTTTAACACGGTTGTTCACCACTGCGAATACCGATTGGAGAACCTCCTTAAATCAGAAGCGTGCAACACTACGGCTGTGTTCAGAATGGAATAGTAGCATAATACTTGCTGCACAGTACATACTGTAAACCAGTATGTATTCAATATAGTATGCAATAACAATGAATGCTTTACATTTCTTTCACAGTCTTTTAAATTCACAGAGTCCAGTTATCACCTCTGAAATGAAAGCTAAAGTGTGTAATTTTATACTATTGTTGAATATGAGATGTTAAAATATCCAAAGTTCGTTAAATTGTAGAAACTTGGTGGCGTGTCTGATTAAAACACTGGGAAAACACCAGTCCTTTGCTCTCTTTTATTCCATTGGATTGAAGAAGCATAAATCTTTAGCAATTCACACGACATGAAGTTCACAAAGTCACATGGAGCAGGACTACTAGGTTGGACATGATGAACAGGATGCATAGGATAAACAGGATGGTTTTAAGTCACTACAAACAATACAAAAGAGAAATCAAACTCATGAAATTAATTCATCAATAAACATCAATATTGTATTCAATCCAAATAGGGACTAAATATCTAAACAATTCAAATAAACAAATTCAAACTATACAATTGGCAAACAGACTTACTTAACGCATCCTAAGGGAAGGACTCAAAGAACATGGTTGGGTGTCCATTCAAACCCACACCTCACCAATGCAAAAGGGACAAAGGAAGGAAGTAAGGTCTATTTATAGACCTTAACCAGGGGAATATGGGTAATGTAGTGCACCATATATGGAAATGTAGTTTACTAGGAATTGTGGGAGATGTAGTACAAAGGAAAAATAAGAAAAATTAGAAACAAATGAGTCAAATTCACAACAACTATAATATAAAAAAATAAAGTTTTCTTAACCAGTTGTGCAAGTTTGGGGCAGGACTATTTGTTTGCATGACCAATGGTCGACAGAGAGTGTTTCAAAGTGCTGAACTATTTCAGTCATAACATAAATTACACATTTGACCTTAAAATGCATTGTTCTTTTTTTTTAAATCATAACTAGTATCAATTAAAATCATAATTATAATCATCTTGAGACTGCATATAGATTCCAAAGCAGCAACAAATGGCTAGTAGCAACTTCCCAGCATGCATTGCTCTCCCTTGAAGTTTCACTTCTTAAGATACGAGTGAAACTTCAAGTTGATAATCTATATGGAATCTATATGCAGTCATTATATTATATTAATAGATTATGTATATCCTGTTTACACATTTGAAAAATTTAAGGGGGTCTGAATACTTTCCGTACCCACTGTATATATATATATATATATAGAGAGAGAGAGAGATTTCACAATTTAAAGAGTTGATGTCTATTTTAATGTTTTAAAATAGAATTTATTCCTGTGATGCAAAGCTGAATTTCAGCATCATTACTCCAGTTTTCAGTGTCACATGATGCTTCAGAAATCACTAATGATTTGCTGTTCAATAAACATTATTAACAATGTTGAAAATATTATATTATGCTTCTTTAATATTAAATTTTTTTAAAGTCTATGCACTGACCCAAAACATTTGATAAAATAAATAAAAATATATATATATATTTTGTATATTGCTATATTACTTTCAGGTGATGTTGATGTGGACTTGCTCATATGGCTGAGTTTAGAAACTACTAGTTTTGTCGAAATGTCATTTTCTCTCAATTGCCTACCTGTCTACTTGTGAGACAGAGAGACAGGAGGCGGTGAAGAAAGAAATGCTTGTAGTCTATAATCATTTACAAAGGTCAGGCGCAAGAGAGAAAGACAGACAGTGAGCCTGCCAGCGCTGCTCTCCATCTCTATTGATCCTTATCTGCAGTCCGGCCCACCAGAATGACTCGCCTGAAAGAAACACCTTAATAACCGTACAGGTTGATGCCGAGTGTAGTGGTTCAATTAGGGTGCTGGATGAAGTCAAGGACGTGAGAAAACACGAAACACGATTCCGGATCCTAATTCTAGCGCGATTCTGGGAGTCTTTGATATGCTGAATATCAGCTGCTGAGCTCTTTCTGCGAGTGAGTGGCAGTTTTGAGCTCTGGGGTGTTCGGAGGATTTATCACCTTCCAGAACTGCTTATTAACAAGGTGAAGCACGAGGCGTAAACCCTTGATAATGAGCCAATGTAACAATCCAAGAAAACAAGACAGCAGAGCAAGTTTCCAAAAACTGTTTTCACATCCCACTAGTATCAGAATGTGTGTACAACACGTGCAGTTATGAAAATCTTAGGCGCTAAATGAAGATGTTGATTGGTTTGTTTTGCTGACTGAATAAACAAACAATCTGTACGGTTAAAATACGATAAAAAATAACACCTCCACAGGTGTTTAACATTATACAATTCTAAAATACACTATAGCTATATAAATAAAAGTGATTATTGAAAACATTAAGCAAAAGCTTAGCATAAATTGAAAATACATTTTGAAGAATGTTTAATAAAAAAAAGAAATATTTTTTTCTGACATTAACATGCCAATATATATATATTAGGGCTGTCAGTCGGTTAAAATTTTTTATCTAATTAATTACACGATGTTTATCAATAAATTTGACTGTGAAAATACTTACAAAAGATTATGTAAACAGCTATTTTTGTGTTAAATGAGAAAGTATCATGTAGACATTACAAATTGTAGCTTTAGAAATATTTTATTTGATTCAACATAAAATTTATTACACAAACATTTAGGCTACAACGGTCTAACATAAACTATGGAACATAAAAGAAGATAATTTGAGAAACATCTCAGTATTTTCTGTTCATACAATGAAAGTCACTGGTAGCCAACACAGCTTTGTTACAACAGTCTTCAAAATACCTTATTTTATGTTCCACAAAAGAAAGTAAGTCATTCAGGTTTGAGTAAATGATGACAGAATTTAAATTTTTTGGGTGAACAATCCCTTTAATGTTTTATTATTATTTTATTTTTTTTAAATGATACTCTAAATAAGAAACTACATCTGCCAGCAGGCACAAAAGAAAGTAAGTCATTCAGGTTTGAGTAAATGATGACAGAATTTAAATTTTTTGGGTGAACAATCCCTTTAATGTTTTATTATTATTTTATTTTTTAATTTTTTTTAAATGATACTCTAAATAAGAAACTACATCTGCCAGCAGATGGCGGTAAATGTCTTTGAGTCATTTATTTATTTGATTCAAACGGCTGATTCATTCAGGAATTCAGTAAATGGCTCTCTTTATGAATGGGCCTTTGAATCATTGGTTCACATGATTCGTTCAAAACGCGGATTCATTCAGAAACTAAACACCGCTGTGCTGTTCGGAGATGCACAACAATTCTGCTATGGCTTTAAAAGGTAATTATGTTCTCTGCAAAATTGAGCAAAAACACATGATATCATGTTTAAAATATAGCACAATATCAACTTCTTATCTACTGAACTGTTGTGTAAAATCACATTTGCACTCGTGATATTCGGGACAAACAGCACTCGTGTGATATTGCTCTCACAAAAATCACACAAAAATATGAGACAAAAACACATACAGGGGCATTTTTGCACCAATATCTTGAATTTTAGGGCATAACTGCATTTATGGAGTTGTTGCCCTCTGCATCATATTTGTCAACGTCAACTGTATGAAATGTAAGATGATGTACAGGTCTGGGGGCGGGGCCAGCGCGTTAACGGCGTTAAATATTTTAATCGTGTTATTTTTTCATAACTAATTAATCAAGTTAACGCGTTAAACTGACAGCCCTAATATATATATATATATATACATACACTGTATGTGTGTGTGTGTGTGTTTGTGTTACATTACAGCTGTATAATTTAAAACTCAAATTAAGCAAACAAAGCAAAACTATTTTATATTTTAAAGTATATTTTTTGACACACACACACACACATACACTATTATATATTATAAAATTATAAATATTTACATATGATGTCCAAGTATATTTACATTTTTTGCATTTATATTTTAATTTGTAGAATGTTTAATGAAAAATCTAAATACTGTCATATATATCATATATATACACATATAAGCAAAAAATATATATATTAAAATTATATATATATTTTTTAGATTATATATACAATTACACACACACACACATATAATTTTACTGTGCTGCCTGGGTAAAATAAAAAACTACTGCTAGCTTAACAAGAGGATATTTCCTGAATCCCTAAAAATCTTCTATATAAAAAAGGACATGACCCTTTTGACATGTTCAACTCCAACTTCTTGTTTCAGTAAGAGCAAGGTAAGAAATCAGAGACAGAGGTTCAGAGGCAGCTGTCTAGGCTTTAAGACAGGTCTTCAACAAAGAAGAGGAGCTGCCATTTTGCTTTGAGGTGAACCATGTAAATAAATATATAGAACTGTGCTGTTCAGCGTTTCTCTTTACTAGTCTAGTTAGCTATACTGTGATCTGAAAAAAGGAGATGCAGCAAGACCAAAGAAGCTTCAAGAAGTGCTTCTCTCTTTCTCCATAACGATATGCCCTCAGGTAAGAAAAACAACCGAGTGCTGAAACAAACAATATATCCACAGCAACAGAGACAATGGGCTCTGCGGCTCTAGATTTGAATAAAACATGCTTCGAATGATCGCTGGGGTTCAGAAAAGATCCTCTTTGATGGATGAGATCTAACAGTGGTTGTCAGTACAAACAGAGACATATGGTGACATAGCGACATATGGTGTGTAAACTGTTGTCATTTCCCCTCCGTTCTGTAAATAAGCAGAGGAATGTGTTGTTTTTTTTTATAAAAATGGGCCAATTTCTGTATCCAAAATTGTAAGTTTGTTTGGCATTCAATGAAAATTACAGCCTCAAAGCTGTTCACTGTGCTATTGAGGACTTTTTTCCCCCCCAACTAATTCAAGTTGAAACAGGTCATTTCTAAAGAAAAATAATTCAAATGTATATGCAAAATCACAGAAGGAAATTTTTTTCTAGTCACACTTGATCATGCAAAAACAACGATTGTGGACTGGACCTTTCAGGCTTCAGAAACACAAAGCTATTGTTTGACTTCTTAAAACTTGAAATACAGCACATATATGAATCATTTTTGGTACTTATAGTGCTTTGGTATCTTGTTTGAAAATTGACAGCACCAGTCCCCATTCATTCTTCCTGAATAGAAAACAGCAACTGTTCTTCAAAATACCTGCTTTTTCTTCCACGAAATGAAGTCATTTTGCTTTCATTGCCATTAAACCTGATGAAAAATCTTTAGTGCTCAGACATGTCATGTCCCCCACAAGCCAAAGATTAGCCCATATTAGACTCATGATGGCAGCAGGGCGGTGTGACATCTGAGCAAAATGATGACTTCCTCCCCATGAGGTAATAAACTTGTTAGGAAACGTATGAGACCATTTGTCTCAATGTCAGACTAAATGATGTCAAAGTCATAGCAGTGGCATAATCATGAAAAATGTATGTCGAGCACGGCCCTACAAACTTTTTCTTTTTCTTTCTTCCCCCTTTCTTTCTTTCTTTCTTTTTGGAAAGTTTGCAGAAATTTACTGGAAATTTTCCACCCCTTTGCAACCCTATTTAGAACCCAGGAAATTTCTTCTAAACCTCATGTCTACCTATATAGCAGTTCTAAAAAAAGCCATGTAGACTTGATTAATTTATAAGCAGCATTCACTTGATTGGAGCAAAAAGGTAGTGATGCCTTAAGGTTCATCCATTACATATAACATGATTTTTCCCCAACAAACTGTGAGTGAGATAGTGTCACTTCCTTAGAAAGAAAGCAACTTCAAGGCAAATTTAAAACATCCTCTCTTGCTCCCTAACAGAAGACTCATTCCCTTTCCCCTGATGTACTCCAGTCCAGGCAACAGTACAATCAAATCAACTCGAGACTGGATAAATCCCTCTGGCTTTGCCATTACTGCAATTTGCTCCAGTATGAAGCAGACCAAGTGCAATCTTGTGTCTTAATAACACTGCCTTTTCTCTCCGAGGCTTAAAAGCACAACCGGTTTCTTTTATACAGTGGCCAACACGTGCGGGAAAAGCCAGCGTTCACTGGCAAGGCGCTGATGGGCAGACTGGCGCCAACGGCCACTCCCGCATCACTCAAACCTACTTTTGCGGCTTTCATTAGCAGCTCCCGTTCTTCGTCATCTTTCCTCTGCTTCTCAATCTTCTCCAGCTGCTCAAAGAACTTCAGCTGGGTCCGCACATCCGATGTCTGCTCGTACAGCTCCTCATCCTGGGGAAAGTAAAAACAAAACTCCTCATCAACAAGTTCATCACCTTTACGTTGTTATAAGAGTAAACTAACTTTTTCTCCAGCTCGCCTAAAGTTTCACTCTTTTCCCTTTCGTGCATAAATGAAAGTGAAGTTAGTAGGTCACCCAGAGCTAATGGGATAATTGTGTGTTTCGCAGTGTTTCTGTGAGGCAACCCCCGACTCTTTTTCATGCGATGGTTGTTCTAGCGTTGCAGGTAAAAGAGCTGCGTGAGGCGCAGCAGAGGACAAAAGCTGAGCGACGCACACACACACACACACACAGGAACCCACACATTTTCATGCACTTCTGAGGCTATAGCCTATTAGCAGCGGGAACGGCACTGCTCTTCTCATCTCTTCACGCACGCTTTCTTTTGCGCTGAGGCTGCGCCTCACTCGCAGGGCCAACTTTTCCCGTCTCCATTCAAGTTTGGCTTGTTTTACGCTGATGTCAACAGGCTGACTTCATAAAGCCGTAACAGTTACTCATTTTGAACAGTTTGTTGCAAAATCAGAATGGGACAAATCGCAACATGACACCGTATCCTCTTTGCGTCATTTTTTTTTCTTCTTAGTACAAAATGAAAGTCTAGATTTCCACAGTTTTTTTTCCTCAAGCTCCATTACTTTCAGTCTTCTATGATAACAAGTTTTTAAAAAAACAGGATCATTTAAGATACGATAATTAAATAATGAATAAAATAAAATCTGTCTTTTTCACTTACCAATAAACACAGGAAGCTTTGGTGCTCTAAATTAACAATTACAACCTATTACGATCAATACCAATTTGGTTTCTGAATTATTTTAGGATTGACGCATCTCTTATGGTTTCCACAAAAATATTAAGCAGCACAACTGTTTTGTTTGTTTCTTGAGTGTCAAATCAGCATATTAGAAAGATTTCTGAAGGATCATGTGACACTGAAGTCTAAAATAATGGCTGCTGAAAATTTTGCTTTGTCATTACAAAAAATAAATCACATCTTAAAATATATTCCATTATTTTTAAATTCTCCACCCCCCTGGCAACAGCATAACAACCACAGCCGGGCTCCATGTAATAGCACATATCCGCAGGCACTCATTGGTATGCACTGTGTGCTAAATCAAGCGCACCGGGGGGGGAGAGAGTTTGCTTAAATACAATAATGTAGGGCGCTTTTTTGGATGAGAGGGATCCAAAGACCTGCCTCATGTCTATATGACAGTCTCCTGTTTCTTCATGCTCTTTAAGACATCTTTAAAGTGATTTATGCAAAGGTTAACTAATCATTATTAATAAGATGCTGGTGCAGTATGTTTGCAGATTGCATGTATAGAATTTGGGTGTCTGGTCTTGATTCGGGACCCTATTTTGTGCTGATATACACCTTTTCCTATTTAGTAATGGAGAAAAGACAGCAGACTTCCACTAGTCTTTATTTCCAAGGGATTATGGGTAATATTTAGCTTGCATACTAATTACACATCAGTAATATTGTGAAATATGCCACAAAAATATTAAAGGGATAGTTCACCCAAAAATGAAAGTTTGGTCATTAATTACTCACCCTCAAGTCGTTCCAAACCCGTAAGACCTTCATTCATTTTCCGAACAGAAAATAATATATTTTTGATGAAATCTGAGAGCTTTCTGACCCTCCATTGACATCAATGCAACTGACACGTTCAAGGCCCAGAAAGGACATCGTTAAAATAGTCCATGTGACATCAGTGGTTCAACTCGTGAAGGCGTGTCAAAGACTGACACGTAAGAGAAGAAATTGTTGAATAAAGTCATTATTTTTGTTTTCTTTGTGCACAAAAAAGTAATCTCCTGGCTTCATAAAATTACGGTTGAACCACTGATGTGACTTGGACTATTTAACAATGTCCTTACCAACTTTCTGGGCCTTGAACATGTCAGTTGCATTGCTGGCTTTTCAGGGTCACAAAGCTCTTGGATTTCATCAAAAATATCTTCATTTGCGTTCCGAAGATGAACGAAGGTCTTACAGGTTTGGAACGACATGAGGGCGAGTAATTAATGACAGAATTTTCATTTTTGGGTGAACTATCCCTTTAAGCAGCACAACTGCTTTAACATTGATAATAAGAAACATTTCTTGAGCATCAAATCATTATATTAAAATGATTGACAGCTTAGCCATCAGAATATAAAAAATATATCAAAATAAAAAATGTAAAAAATAATAAAAAAGAAATTGTAATATTATTTCACATTATTACATTTTTTTTTTTTCCTGCATTTTTGATTAAATCAATGCGGCCAGTTGCAACCAGCATTGTATATATCACACTTAAAACATAACAGTCATGCTTGACTTGCTATGTAGCATCTGTACGTATGTAGATTCGAAGGCATCTAGTCCTTGAAATGTGCATTGTTTGTTTAGGCAGGGACATTCAGAGTGCATGCAAGTGACCTTGTCAGGGAAGAGGCCCGAGGTAACCTCACATTTCAGCACACAGCAAATAGAGAGCCATCAGAAGACGGCCTATAAAGTATTCATACGCAGCCTGAGGAGGCCTCAAGCTCGGACACAGGACATTCATTAGCCTGACTTAGCAAGTGAGTGACCAGTGGAAGTGCACTAGAAGAGACTTAGAAGAGACCCCTAGTCTTAGGCAGAGATCAAGGAGAGAGGACTGGAAGGTCACCAATCACTAAATCTCTATTTTTTAAGCTTAGGGTGGGTCACTCTATAAATAAAAATATGAATAAATACTATAATAGTAAATACTATAAAATAAATACAAAAATAAGTCAACTAGTCATCTAAAAAAAAAAAAAAACAATTAAAATGCCCAGAATGCTTTGTCTACTTTGTTATTTTGTATAAGTATAAACATATAGGAATTAACAGCAATAGTAATAATACTAATAACAACATTGTTAATATATATATTTTTATATATATTTTTGGCAAAAATGCAATTTACATTAAGAAATATGAATTTAGCCTAATTATACAGTGCTTCTTTATGACTGATTACTCTAAGGTTTTAGGCTACTGATTGGCTAGTTGATTTTAAAATCATGTAGTACAAAGTATTAGTGTTCAGATCCGTTGTATACTTTATTCATATGCCTGACTGTAAATCTGGCCAAAAATATCATCTATACAGCTTTCTCTCTGCGTGGCATTTAAATCAAGCAGCCAAATCATAAAGCTTAGAAAAGAGTGACACATCTTTCCTGTCTCATCGGGCCAGCTTTCATCAGCTTTTTGTTTAAATCCATTCATAATCCCACACCCATTTAAAGATCCGCCCTCAAACAACATCAGTCAACGCTGATACAGTAATTAGACAGAATATTAACTGCCCACACAGTGGCGGTACAGCCTAAACCTCTTTATGACTGTAAACCTGCCAGGAGAAACTGATCCTGACAAGCACATTGCCAGACTGCCGATGAGAGTATTGTAGCAGCGGGTTATCGCGTACCAGTCTCCAGGAGACGTTTGTGGAGCAGGCTGGCAGGAAGGAAGGCCTCGTCCTTACAGGAACGGATCTGAGTGCCCACCAGCTCCGAACCCGTGGCCAAGATACGGGCGTTCTCCTCATTTAGGTTCACACCAGCCATGGATGCCAC